TATCTATCTATCATCTCTGTCTCTATATGTCTATCGTCTGTCTGTCTATCTATCTATCTATCATCTCTGTCTCTATATGTCTATCATCTGTCTGTCTATCTATCTGTCTGTCTGTCTGTATATCTGTATATCTATAAATCTCTCTCTCTCTCTCTCTCTCTCTCTCTCTACCTACCGTATGTATCTATCATGACCTGGCAAAAGGATGATTAAAAAACATCCCATCGTTGCAGTGGGCACCCTGGAAGGCATCAGGGAAGCCATATGCATTACAGCCTCCCTGGGAGGTCAAACTGTTGTCACCTCACTGCAGGCCGCTGAACCTTCAGTCAACTCTTAACGGGGGACCAAGAGGAGCTCAGCACCTACCGAACACTCTGCAGGGTTTGCAGCCGCTTGTGGTTTCTCTCCAGCTCGGATTTCCTCTTCTCGATCTTGGCCTCCAAACTGGCTTCATCGGCGGCCACGTTGTTGAGCATGTCATTGGTTTTCTGGACTTGCTCCTGCAAAAAAAAAAGGGGGGGGGGGAATCACAGGCAGCAGAGGTGAGCTTCCAATTCTATTGTAGGCCATCCAGAGTGACACCTGTGACTCTACGGTAGAGGGGCGTGAGATGGGTGAGAGTAAGAAGGGCAGAGAGGAGAAAACTCCTTGAGGTAAACTGGAGAAGGAAGGTATGGGAAACCCTCTTAAAAATCCTCAACTTACGACCCACAATTGAGCCCAGAATTCATGTTGCTCTATGAGAAACGCAGGTTACTTTTTTCAATGCGGTTGTAACTTCGAACAGTCCTTCAATGAACTGTTGTGTGAGTGGTGCGGCAGCCTGGAGGTGGAGCTCTCGCCTCACACACTCTGCACTGGCAACAGGAAGGGCATCCGGCCAGTAAATACTCAGTTCCATTCAGTCGCGCTGACGCCACCGATCCAAGGGATTGCAGGCTCATTAAACGATGAACAACCAAATGAACGGTTGTAAGTCAAAGGATTACTTGTATAGCAAAAAAAAAAAAAAAATAGGTAACTTACTGACTAACCAAGACGTTGTGTTGAAAAAAACCCTTCATCCTTACCAAAATATCTTTGATGGCAACACGCATCACTTTTTCGGTTTCATTAATTTCAAGAGGTCTTCCAATTGCTTCTGTTCTCAGTTCCTGAGAGGAGGGAAAACAAAAGAAACAGAATGAAACAAAAGAGCAAACAAGGACAAAACCCAGAAAGATACTGTTAATGGACATTAAATATGTTTTTTCTTTCTTGACAGCAACGCCAGTTTGAGGAGGAGGATCGATTCGCAAATGTAGAAAGTATTCCGAGGAAGGAAAAGTGCCGAGAACTCGCTTTAATTGCTATCATGCATCTTCGAAGCTGGCAACCCTCTTTGGTGTAATCTCTTTGTTAACAGTTAAAAATCTAGCCCGTCAACGTCGATTTAAACGATGCTTTATTAAAATAAGATAGGACAAAAGACAGAAGTGTAACAGATACACTCCCCTGGCTTTTAGAGGCTCGTGTGTCACAGCAAGAATCGTTTTAGAAGTCACCGCTTGGCAATGCATCTTAATTAAGCCACAGTTTTGCTAACCGTGGTTTATTGAACAAAGCAATAATAGCTGCGATACGAAGCATTACAGGTAGTCCTCGACTTACAATGGTTCATTTACTGAACGTTCAACATTACAACGGCACTGGGGGGAAAGTGACTTATTCACACTTATGACGGTTGATGTGCCCCCACGGTCAGGTGATCAAAATTTGGACGCTTGCAGCAAGAATAGCCTTTGCCCAGAATTGGAAAAGTGACAGCACTCCCTCCGATATTATGATAATAAAAAATGGTTTTAGAGTGTGCAGAAATGGATAGGCTTTTAATGGAAATGAAGGAGAGAGAAGAGAGAGTACCGTGAAATTTGGAAGTTATGGTATAATTGGCTGCAAAGTAGACACGAAATAGGGAGATGAAATGAAAAGTTATGGTGCGATGAAATAATTTGGTATGAATAGGCATAACTATGTATACTTACGTATAAATATGTAAATAACTACGTAAATATATGAAAATATGACATAAATCAAACGTAAAATAATTGTAATAATATTTAGTAATATTCTATATACTTAAGAATATGTCAAAATGAGTGAACGCTATTGCAAATATGCTGCAATGAATGGAAATATGGTTTTTTTAATTGTAGAATTTATTTAATAAAGTTCTTTAAATATTAAAGAAAAATTCAGACGTTTGGCAGCTGGTTCATATTTACGACAGGGTGTCACTTGATCCTGTTTTGTGATCTTCTGACAAAGGAAGGGGAAAAGCCCAGTTCACTTCACAACCAGGCAACTAACTTACAAACTGAAGGGATTCGCTTAACGGCTGTGGTCAAGCAAGGTCGTAAAATGGGGCAAAATTCACTTTAACTGTCTTGCTTAGTGACAGAAATGTTGGCTTCAAATGTGGTCGTTAAGTCGAGGACTCCGTGTACGACACAGCATGGTGTGGAAAGCAGGTGGCCTTTTGCTTATGGGAAAAAGAAAGACTCTGTGTTTGTACAGTTTTAAGAAGCAAATGTTTAATTAGATGTTATCGGGTTTTAATTCTCAAACCTTGAATGTGCTCAGCCCTTCCAATGAGACTGTCTCCATTCCCAATTTTTTTTGATTTCTGAACTTAAACTAAGCAATCTGTCAAAGAAATGGCTGTAGCCCATTACTCATTCTGAAGGCTCAATGCTGTTTCTATAGCATAGCAGCTGAAAGCTTTGGCATTTCATTCAATTCCTGCCAGGGATTTTACTGAGAGGAGAAATTTAGCATATGAAGAGAGACAGGAAAATATCCTCAAGGAATATTTTCTGCTGTTTAACAGTCACAAAGAGAGAGCCCAAAGACTCTTAGATGGGTTTACTGGAAGGCAAGAGATCATACATTAGTGGAATGCAGGGAAGAAAATCTGTTTAGGGCGAAGACCAAAGGAGAGATCAGTTGCACATTTGTAAAGAGCGGCCTTTACTCTTGATAAAATTAGGAAAAAAGTAACTTTGGCCGAAGTGCCTTCCAGCTACGCGAAAAGCAGCACAAATCACGCAGGGAATCACAAATCACTCGATTTCAGCAAAAGGGATACTGCTGCTCTGCAACTGATAAGTGTAGTAGTAGATGATAATGCTGGGCTTTTTTTATCGGCTGTCTAGCACATTATTTCCCGTGTCATTTTTAAACTAGTTTTCAGCTGGAACTAGGGAAGAGTTGAAAGGGTAATCTCATGTGCCAGATGCATCATCCTCTTGTATCATCTGAACACTCTGGGTAGAGTCCCAAGAGCTAGTCTGATTTAGAACACAGAACATAGAGTAACTTGGATGGAAGGGACCATGGAGGTCTTCTAGCCCAACCCCTGCTCAAGCAGGAGACCATATACTATTCCAGACAAATGGCTGTCCAATCTCTTCTTGAAAACCTCCAGATCCCCATCACTGGAGGTTGTCCTCCCACAATGTCCAGAGGTAAGTCCTTCCACCGATTAATTGTTCTCACTGTCAGGAAATTGCTCCTTAGTTCTAAGTTGAGTCTGCTTCAGTGATCTTCCCCCCCATTGCTTCTTGTCCTACTTTCTAAAGCTGCTTTGGAGAATTCGAAGCGGACAATCCAGAGCCTTGGCTTAACTTCAAACCTCCTTTGAAATCAGACTTCTGGTAAAAGCTAACTGCCTCCTTCCCACCAACTTGCTGCTGGGAGGACAGAAATGAAGAGAGAGAGAGAGGAAAAAAAAAGAGAATTTTCTAAATCTCAGATTCTGGCCCGACTCCAACCCCCACCTCCTTCCATCCTTCAGCAGATTCAGCTTAAAGGAAGAAGTTGCCAGCTTTCATCCTAAATGTAGCCCAGAGATTTCCTTTTCGCATGTGTGATCATGTTGCCTCTATTAAAATGATTAATGGAGGCGATCCATCTAGAAGAGGATATGGGAAGGACTGCCAGAAGCCATCTTCGCTGCATGATAGACGTTCTGGCACATTGTTGACCATATTTTAGCGTCAGCATTCTGAGTAATGCACCTGCCAAAACCAGAACTCCAAGGCAGATAGATTCCTCAAAGAACGTGTTTATTGGATACATCATATCGGCACAGCTAGTGAAAACCAGCTCTGAAAGTTTTCCTGCGCTTGTGACATAATTAAAAGAGCAATTGTCTCCCCTCCCAAGTGTCACTGGTCACATTGTCCAAATAGGGTATCTGGTGGATTCCTTGGTCACTCCTCTCCTCTTCCAACTGTCACCTGTTGGGATGACCTTGGTTCCCACAAGAAAACTGTTTGTTTTGACTGCTAGCCAGTCTATCTACTTCCCCCTCCCTTTCCCTTGTTGGAGTTCGTGGCAACTATGAGGCTGCAAAAGATGGCTTCAGCTGAGTTCGCTTCAGAGTTGACAGTTAGATGTGAGGTAAAACATGTTTATCCCAAGGCTTTTTCAAACATTTGCGCTGTTGTGGTTGTGGAACAGCTTGGTGTGGTTTGGATGGCTGCAACCCTATTGGCTCAAAAACCGAGCCGTTCCACACAGCAGTGGGCTAGATTCTGGAGTAAGGTCCAGAATTAGCAACCTTAGTTGCCAATTTGCTTTGTTTATTTTGACATCTATTTTGGTGATTGTTCTTGTTTGGATGCTAAGAGTCGTGATGAATTGATGGCCATAGAAAAATCATTAAGTGGATGAATAAATACATACATCAATGAAGTGCAGAATGCACAACCAAATCCTGCCTCTCATGGCTTCATGTGTAACAACTGGTTAATTTTGAGTTGCTTGTTTTGGCTGTAAGGTGCATTATTTGTTAGTACGCTTCATTTTACTCTTGTCGTAAACTCTGTTTACATCTGCAGGGACTTCTCTCTTTGAAAGTCGCTGCAAAGCAACATCAGCAGACACGTTAACTCAAAGCAACAGGCAGCGAGAATTTCGGAATAATAAGTGGAGGATTACAGCTTCTGAATCTTATTTTGATTGGCCAAATCACAAGTGGGCAGAGAGCACTCTTTGAACATGCAAAATCTTCTATATTTTCTTAGCATATCACAGATGCAAGAAAAACATTTCTATCAGCAGGAAACGGCCATTGCAAGCAAATTAGGGGAGTGTTGTTAGAATTATAGTAAAAAATCCTGATAGAATCATGGTTGGCAATATTAGATTAGAAGATTAACAGAGTTGGAAAGGACCCTGTAGGTCATCTAGTCCAACCCCCCTGCCCAAGCAGGTGATCCTACACTATTTCTGACAGATGGCAGTCCTGTCTCTTCCTGAAAGCTTCCAGGGATGAAGCTCCCACAACTTCTGAAGGCAACTTCTGTTCCATGGGTTGATTGTTCTCACTGTCAGAAAATTCGTCCTTATTTCCAGGTTGAATCTCTCCTGGTTCAGTTTCCATCCTTTATTCCTTGTCTGGCCTTCAGGTGCTTTAAAAAATAGTTTGATCCCTTCCTCCTCTCCGTGGCAAATATTGGAAGGCTGCTCTCTCCCCTGGTCCTTCTCTTCCCTAGACTAGCCAAGCCTGCAATAGCAACCCTAATATTACATTACAGCTCTACCCTGGCAGTACCATTTGTTTACAAAGTTTAAGACTTAAGCAAAATATTCATTAAACAAACAGTTATAAATTGAGGATTAGCTATACTCTAATCAAATCATTACGATTAATACCCAGAAAAGCAATATTTTGTCAAGGAGGGTAGGTGCTCCTTTCTGTTTATGTTATGTTGCAACATCCACTCATTAGGAATCAGGGGAGCATCCACATAGCATTAATGCTAATGAGCTAAAGAGGAAAGTCATTTTAAAGCAATTAACGTAAATTCAAAATATTCCACGGAGATGGCATTGGTTTTTTACGCACTGAGGAAAGAAAGCTAATAGTAAAAGAGGCAGAATTGATACTCAGTACAGCCACGGGGAATTCTACTCCCAATACATCTGGAGCCCACCAGGTGTGAAGAAAACTACATGGGGAACCTGGGACAAATTTGGAGGAGAAAAAGAAAATTGATCATCAGAGTGGAAAACAACACCTAGGAGGGAAGAGTGATGGGATTCCAAGGCTTGTCTGGATACCCCAAGAACTAAATCTGACATTTCATTCACCTCTTTCAAGGTCTTT